AATAATAATAATAATAATAATAATAATAATAATAATAATAATAATAATAATAATAATAATAATAGTAATTTTGCAGTCTGGGACCTGCTTTCTTGCCTCTCCTCAGTTTAAAAAGGATATTAACAAGCTGGAGCAAGAGGAGAGAAGGGCTACCAAGATTGTGAAAGGATTGGAAATCAAGCCCAAGAGGAATGGTTCTAGGAATATTTAGCTTGAGAAGTGACGTTATTGCTGTCTTCAAATACTTGAAGGACTGTAGCATTGTAGAGGATTTAATTTCCGATTGTTCAGGAGGAAAAGACTAGAATCAATGGGGTGAAACTTCAAGGATTTAGAGACAGATTAGATATTCCAAAGAACTTCTTGACAGTAAAAACTGTCAGTCAGTAGGATTTAATTGTTTCCCTTCAGTGAAGATTTTCAGTTAGAGGCTGAATAGTCATCTGTCAAGGGTGGTGTAGGGAATCCTGCAATATGCCAGTGGGTGGGTGGGGGAGGGTTGGCTTTATGTCCACTTAAGTCTCCTTCAACTCTATGATTGCTTCATACATGCAGCATATTGAAATTGCATTTTAAAGCAAATGCTAAGCATGCAGTCAAACTCAAGGCCCAGGGGCCGGATCCGGCCTGCAGGGTGCTTAGGTCTGGCCTGTAGGGCTTCCCTGGAAACAGCACAGGACCAGCCCTCAGTGCCCGTGCCAGTGAAAACAGAGCTCAGGAGGCCACAGGTGGCCCTCCCAAGCTCCATTTTCACTGGCAAAGGATTGTAGGAGACTGTCACAGCCAAAAACGGAGCCTGTTTTCATTGGCAAAGCATTCAGGCCACCACAGGCACCCCCAACACGAGTGACGTTGACCTGGCTACATCCACCCTGTCCTCCCTCCAAGCTCAAACACAACCGTGATGCGGCCCTCAATGAAATAAAGTTTGACACCCCTGCAGTAGAAGAAAAACAGGATATGTTCCTTTGGCCTGAAACTGAATCCACATCCTAATGCTATTAAATCTCAGAGCAATGGTGTTTATATTTAGAGTTTATATCCTTTTCCTTTTTTTAAGAGGATAATATTTCCCCCTCAAGCTAATGATGCTTTTAACAAAATGGAAAAAGAAAAAAAAGACATTTGGGCCAAAGTGAAAGTACTTCATTTTTTAAGAAAGAACATGGTAGGAATGGAATAAAAAAATTACAAACTAAAAATTTGGACGCTTCAAAACGAAGGAAAGAAGGAAGGACACGCAACTTCGTAACATTTTTTTTTAACAGACAGGACAAGAGCTAATGATAACTCATGACAGATCAGACACTTTTGAAGGAATCAGGCAGGCACCTGAAAATTTGTTCCACAACATTGAAAGAAATCTCAGCTAAGTGCTGGTTTAGCTGGGAGAAGCATCACTGAAGTCATTGAGGAGGAAATGTGTCGGTAGTCCTCGACTTATGATCACAATGGAGCCTTGAGTTGCTCAGTGAGACATTAGTTAACTGAGTTTTACCCCATTTTGCAGCCTTTCTTGCCTCAGTTGTTAAATGAATCACTGCAGTTGATAAGTTAGTAACTCGGTTATTAAGTGAATCTGGCTTCCTCATTGACTTTGCTTGTGAGAAGGTCGTAAAAGGGGATCACATGACCCCCAGGACACAGCAACTGTCATAAATATGAGCCAAGCATCTGAATTTGATCATATGATCATGGGGAATGCTGCAAAAATTGTAACTGCAAAAATTCCAGTCATAAGTCACTTTTTTCACTACTGTTGTAACTTTGAACGGTAACTAAATGAACTGTTATAAGTCGAGGAGTACCTGTAGTTAATCATATAACCCAGGAACTAGTTGCTTCATCAACTGACATCCTGTCTTTTTCTCACCCAGGACCTCCCACCACCCTTCTTCCCTTCTTCTTCATAGATAACCTCTCTTGTTTCCTGCCCAACTGCTCTTCCACCTGTCCCCACCTCACCTGGAGGGAAAGGGGGTTTCTCTGGTCTGTGATACTCACGGATGCTCCTCCCAAGAAGGGAATCTCTCCAGATACAAAGAATGAGGTATATACACTGGACAGGGTGCTGAGAATGATCCCAAAGCTGATGTGTATGAACCCGGTCATGATCTGGATGGTCTGTGGGAACAACCAGGGTAATAACATTTGGCACTTGATGGATTCAATTCATACATGCACACACACACATGCTTGCATGCACACATGCACACACACACACACCTTGATTGGTTACGCTGACTTCAAAGGATTGGCATCAAAGGATCTCCTGCCCCAGATGGCTACCACCTATTTTATTTTAAAGCAGCTTTTGCCATCCTGGAGATTTGGAGCTGTGCAGGAGTTCATTTCACCTCCCCAACCAACTCACAACCAACTCATCACAGTCAACTCACCATGGCCAACTTGCCATGGCCATCCCACCACAGTCAACTTGCCACAGGACAACTCTCCATAGGATAAGAGTTCCACTAATACAGAAGAAATAGTGGAATAGAATCATGAAAGAAAGGGTGCCAAAGGAAGGACAAAATGAAATGCTAATGACAAAAATTAAAATATTAAAAAAAATCATTTTCAGACAATTAAATTGAATTGTTGAACTGTCCTGCAGTGAATTGTCCTGTGACAAGTTGGCTGTGTTGAGTTGTCCCGAGGCGAGTTGGCATGGTGAGTTGGCCAATGCAGTGAGTTGTTCCATTCTGTCCCTCTTCTCCCACTCAGTTTAGCTAAAGGTTTGGGAAGTTGCTCTGGAGCTCTTTCAGGCACTTTTCTCTTTCCTCACCGCTGCCCTAAATTTTATGATGCAGATTACCAGCTTCTAAGTAAGAGTTCCTAAAGATTAGTGAGAATAATTTATGACTGCTAGTGGAAAGAAATCCAGGGTTTATAAATCTGTTTAATTAACCATTCATTTTGGCAGCAACTAGTAGGTGTTCCCTCCAAAGTTAGCCCCAGTCCTATTGACCTTCTGCAAATCTCTTAAAATGGGGTTTTTTTCAGCAGGCCTGGGGATCCCTTGGTTAACAAGGAGACCCACAAGTTGGTTTTACTATGTGTGAGATTCTGATGCATTCTCCCAAGTTCTGTGTTTAATTCTTTTTAATAATTACTTAAAACTGTTTTAATTGTTAGTTTTATTATATGCCACCTAAAGTCACCTTTGTGAGGTGGCAGCTACAGGCAATTCTGAGGCTACAACTATTTGTTCAGTGACCTTTTAAAGTTATGACAGTACTGAAGGAATGATGATTCCAGTAGTTCTGGTCATTGCAGCATTATGTGACAGAGGATTCTGATGTTCCCGGCTACCTACCTTCAAGCAAAGTCAATGGGTAAGCTAGCAAGAAATTGGAAGTCATGGTCACATGAGGTCCTCACTTAAGACCTGTACAGTCCTCAATTAATGACAACAACTGGACTGCTGGAATAGCCATAGATAAATAACATGGTCATGTGACTTCATGCCTGCATTGCTTAGTTATAGCAATTCTAGTCCCTATTGCCATCATAAGCTGAGGACTACCTGTGTATACATTTGAAAAAATAAATAAATAAATCCAGGTGACCCTGTGCCTGAGGTTGGGGAAGGGAGATGCTCATTATCCCAGAAGAGTTTGTAGAATGAATTGAATTACTTCTAGGGTTACCAGTGGTCTCCTCATCATATGGTCCTTAGCTCAAACAGGGTCAGCTAGAGGTCATAGAATGGTTTTACACTATATTGGAGACACTTTGTATGAAATGAAGAATATTTATGGGAGCATTCTGGTGTTCTTATCTGCTAGGGGCCTGCCTGTTGTTGCTTGATGGACCATTTTCAGATGCATCACAGATTGTACAGTGCTGTTGTGGATAAGGATCTGAATTGTGACAAGTAAACATACGGTATAACCTCTTCACACAGGGAGCAACTTAGGCCTTTTTATTGCATTGTTGCCTTAGATCAACCTATCCTAATGTGGCCCTTCCTGGCTTACAGCTTCTGTTCACTATTCCGCAAGCAGCCAAGCAAAGTCATTCTCTGTGGTGAAGAAGGTTGCCATAGAGAATATAAGGACTGTGTTAAAATCCAGCTTTTCATTCAATCCAGATTTCACAAATACAGTATTCATATTTTTTAGGATATGGAGGATGGGAACAGATTCCCCTGCCTTCATATAGTACACCTGAAAAAAAGCTGTAACCTTTTCACTTTGGTTGGTGATTTATATAAACCTCACAGGGGAGACATTGGGAGTTGCTACTTGGATCTTCTGCAAAGACTCCAAGAGAAGATTTTTCAAGAGCAGCTTTTGCCACTTGGCCTAGGTTGAATTGAGCAGTTGTGTTTTTACTTTCAGTCTCTTGACAATAATCAAAGATCTAGAGTAGGCAAATACAGAAGAGTAATACAACAAGCCCTTAATTTACTGTAACTGAGGAGATAATAAATGGTATTCTCAAATGTCTGTTAAAACCCAAAGTATATCATTTGTGTCATTTGTATATCTTTTTTATAGTTTCATCACTCATCAGTTTCATCACTCATAAATTGCCATAGATAGCAACAAATTAAAGTTAAATTTAATTCCCTTGATCAATTATTTTGGATGCAACAGCCTTGCCTGTTATTTCAGGGGATAATTGGATGGAAATTGTATCAGTTGCATTTAAAGTCCATTATAGAAATTGGGAAATTCTGAACTATTCAATTGGAGCAAGTTTCATTGTACTAAGGAGAGGAAACACTTATTTCTACTTGATTTTTATATTTGACTTCTCCTTATGAAGGAATTCCTAATATATTGCCTCTGTCTGTAGAAGTGTCCTTTTGAATACAAATACTGAATATGAGGGTATAAAATTCCGTTTCTCTCCTTTGGATGGAAAATATTTTTTTTATGGGAAATTAAGCAGGGGATTTGTTTTCCTGTTTTGTTTTGTTCTGCTGTGGTATAATTTTTGTTTCTTTGCTTGCTTATTGTAGATGGATGGATGGATGGGGAGGGGAAGAAGGAGAAGGAGAAGGAAAAGGAGAAGGAAGAAAGAGAGCAGAATTTTCAGAAGAGAGTCCAATGTTTGCTATATACTCTGTTTCTCCAACAATACGGCCTCCCCCAATAGGAAGTCCCAGCATGTTTTATAGGCATGAAATGAAATTAAGCCCCTCCCCCCAAATTAAGGCCTATATTAAAACATGTGAAGTGCGGGGGAATGGTGGGGAGGCTTGCCGTTAGGAAGTACACCCGGATATGGTGCTACCTGCGTTGACCCCGATACGAAGTGCCCCACCAACGCCGAGGTCAACATCCAAGCCGTCGCCGCCTGCCCAAAGATGCAAGGAGGGGGGAATTAAGTCACCCCCGAAAAGACGGCCTAGCCATTTTTTCGGGGCTCAAAAAAAAAAAAATAAGGCCCAGCCTTATTATATGAGAAACACGGTAGTTACTGTAATGTGGCCAGCCAGGCTGACAACAGTGTTTGGGTGGATTATACGTGGGAAAATTTATCATTATCCTCATGGTAAAATGTACAAAAGATACTGGACTGGAGTCAGCAAACTCCAGACAATGAGTCTGGTAGCTTTGGGATTGCTTGATTAATTTTTCTAAGTTAAGAGATACTGATGCATCAGATGGCAGCTGTCTAGGAGAGCAAATGCCAGTCAAAGCAAATCAGTTGGAACACATCTAAAGTGGCAACATGCCATGTGGATGTCTTTACAGAAGGCATTCTTTTGTCCAGGGCAAGTGAAAGACAGGGAGAATCAGAAAGACAAAGGCATGAAATTGCTCATAATTAGAGAGGATCTGGAATGGCAACTGTGCAGGAGAACAAGCCATCTGCTCGCATCTATAGATAGATGATAGATAGATAGATAGATGATAGAGATGATAAATAGATGATATATAGATGATAGATGATAGATAGATAGATAGATAGATAGAGTAGAAAGATACAATAGATAGAATTCTTTATTGGCCAAGTGTGATTGGACACACAAGAAATTTGTCTTTGGTGCATATGCTCTCAGTGTATATAAAAAGAAAAGATACATTTGTCAAGAATCATAAGGTACAACACTTAATGATAGCCATAGGGTACAAGTAAGCAATCAAATCATGCTAGGAAACAATCTTTCCCACTAGGCCTGGTGTCTCTCTGTAAAATGATTATTGCTAAATGTGACTTTTGCCTATGCAGATCTACATTCTGCTTTGTGAATGTGTGGAATTTTTTTTTTAGGCAGAATATCTGGTTCAAAAACAGATAGAATCTGTCAATCAACAGATGCTGCATAACTGAAACCTAATGGGAAAAATGTTAGGGTAATCCTGATCAAAGTTTCTGGGTTTTCTTTTTAAAAAATGCATGATATTTATTTCCCCCTTTTGTTTTTTGTTAATTATATAATCTGTATCCCTTATTTCTTTTGGAACATCTTCATTTTAATGCTTTGGTGCACTGAAAGAGAGAACAAGGCAACTTCTGCAATTAGCTGGGAAGAAAAAATGAATATATAGTTCCTTCCATCTGAGCACAGCTTTGAAAAACAGGGCAATGTGCTGTCATTGCTTTTTTTCAATCCAAGGCTTTCATTTTATTTTATTTGTATTTGGATCCAGAGCAATCTTACCGCCTATCTGATATTTCACAATCCCAGTCATCCCAGTTAGAGGTGCTGTTGCCTTCAAAAAGGGACTTAGTAGTTGTGATCTGGGCAATCCCAATAGAATACCACACCTATTCTTAGAAAAGCACCTTTATGTGCTTCTGCAGTAGCAAAAAAGCACTGACTTAGTTGCAGGATTTCCCTTTATAATGTAGCCATTTATTTGTTCAGAATTTCTCCCTGGCTGATACCCTTTAGAGAGTGCATAGCGATTTCTGTACAAAAATGAATGGAGATGGGTTTCTGCTTAAGCTCTAATCTTTAAATGTATTTTGTCTGGGTTTCTGCTTAAGCTCTAATCTTTAAATGTATTTTGTGTCTAGAAGAAGAAACCTTCTTACCGACTTACACGATGCAAGAGAATGCCACAGCACTGGACAGGGCTACTTATGATGTGGTCCTGAAGGACAGTTCTAAATGCTTTTATTTCCCCCCAATTATTTATCACTGTGGGGGAGAGATGGAAGAAAGATGGAGGATGGTGGCAGGGAGGTTAAGAGAATGCTGTTTCCCTCTATCTGTAAAAAAAACATGCGTCTTTTGGCTTGATTTATACAAGCTATGGCAAATTTGTACAAACCATGTCTTTATGCTTTGAAGATCAGTTTTTTAAAACAATTATAACTTACTAAGTTCTAACTGCAGCCTTTAAAAAAAAAGTAGGCTGAGCACCGGGTGAACAATATGGATTTAAATAATAATAATATAAATCATCCCTCTGGGCACATCTAATCACAGATAGAGGGACTCTGGGATTAATTTTCTGGGCAGTCCAGGACTTTGATCAACCTAATCCTGGAAGTGTTCTCCCAATTAGGATCCATGTAGCCAATCTTTGCCATTAACTTGAGGAAGCTTTAAATGGCATAGAAACGATGGGCATCTTTAAGAGGCTGGGCTTAATATTTGGTATTAAGAGCTATACCACCTCTGAACAAACAGGTTCCATTGATACAATACAGCAATTCTCAGTCTCTGTCGACAGCTTTTAACTGCATTTTAATAGATTTGCTTCCTAGAGGGACATTATCCACTTCTCCTATGTACTTAAGACATTGAATTCAGCATTTAAACTTGGGACAGCAGCATTCTTCTGCTGTCCCAAGCAAAACACAGAAGATAGTGCCCAGTCTTCACAAGAGAGAGCAATTCTGAAGTTGTGGGTCAGCCGGATCATTTCTTACTTTCCTTATTGGCACCAGACTTCATTCCTATTTCTGGGAGTATTTAGTATTGGAATGCATATAAATATACCAAAGCTTAAACGAACAAAACGAGCTACTCTCAGAAAGATGTTCTAGCCAAATGGCTCATTATTTTCCATAAGTGGGGATACGACTGATTCCCAAGTTCTTTACATTGATTTAGTCTAAAGCTTTTCTCTGATTCCACCTCTTCCCAGCTACACCCCTCCCCCATTCACACATATGCACACGCACCAGAGAATCACACTGCTCAGACTAAATCAAGAGAGCCTGTACCCCCCAGGAGAAACCCATCCCCAACTCTTCTATCCACCCCCACCCCCACCCCCAATCTTGCCCAACCCAGCTCCCTGCCCAGAGGGGGTTCTCCCAGGCTTCTGTCACTCACCCCCAGCACTCGGTTCTTCCCTTTGGGAATAGTTTCCACTGTGTACATCACAGTCCTTCTCCCCAGCCGGAAGTTCCCCATTCCCTGCATGGGAAACAGCTGGCGTGTGTGCTCCCAGGCCCTCGGGACCCTAGCAACTGAACCCTCCGCTGCATCAGCCAGATCGGCTGAACATGGATAACAGATAGCTGAGCCTGGCTGCTCAGCTCCAGCACATGCTGTATCCCAGAGAAAGGGGGAGAGTGGTCTTATTGGCTTCTGTCAGCAATGATGTCACAGGCAGTCAGAGATGCTGCAAGAGACTGAGCAGTTAGGGAGGGGGAAGGTCTGGGTGGTAGGTAAAGCTACCTCCTTCCTCAATTACATTCTCAGCCGGCAGAGAGGCACCGCAGAGCCATGGGGTTTACACAGAGTGGATTTCTGAGCAATCAGAGATTTGTGCTGTAATAGCCATTCACAGAAGTGTCTCTTTCACAGACAGAGGAGAAGGCAATTTTTTTTTTAAAAGTGGCTGGGAGCCATCTTCTGTAGTCAGTAAAGAAAAGTTCCCTGAATCTTCTCCATGGTGGTGTTAATACCTCTGATGAAAATGATGCTGGTTGGTTTGGGTTTCATGCAAACATTTCCCCCCAAGACATTAACATCGGTGTAGGTGATGTATCTTCTTTCCTCTTCCTGCACTCCCCATCCATTACATCTTATCAACAGGTTACTGATGGACTAAAACCACAGAGAGTCTGGTTCAAATGCATCATTTGTCATGGAACAGGGCTTCTTTGCAGTATCTCCAATTTCTTTTTTGGCACCTTCAAACTCCTGAGCTTAGTTATCTTACCTTTGTGTTATTTGTAGAGATTGCTTTCTACTTGAAGTGTACTGGAATAGTAACCACAACAATTGGGCTTTTTACTAAATTAATGAATGGCATCTCCTTCCCTACCATCCAATCAGAGCCGAAGAAGCTTCTTGGATGAGAAGCTAAACAAATTCAAAGAAAAACCAGAAAGTCCAGTTGCCTCTTGAAAAAGCACCTTTGGGACAACCATCACCTGGATGATTGAGAATCTCCGTAGACATGGTGTCTCCTTGTTAGTGATTAACTGAAAACCAGATCCCTTGACTGATATTCTGTAAGTAGCAGCAGAGAAATATCTTCAGCTCCTTTCACATCTTCACTCTACAAAGAACCATTTGCACTTTTTCTCTTAATCTTAATTCAACCTTAAACCGAGATATGTGGTGTGGTGATTATGGTGTAGAACCTACCTAGAAACTTTAGCCCACACTTTCCCCATGCAATCTACCTTACAGCATATGAGGATAAAATGGAGATTCCCATTTAACCACACTGAATTTCTGGAAGATTGATGGAAGATAGAAAAATAGTTTTCCTTGTTTACAGGTGCACCATGGATGTGTACATGAGCTGTGGTGGTGCATGGTTAGAATACAGTATTGTAGGCTAACCCTGCCTACTGCCAGGAGTTTGATCTTAACTAGCTTAAGGTTGACTCATGTGGTTGAATAAAATGAGACCCAGTTTGTTGGGGCCAATATGCTAGCATTTGTAAACTGCTCAGAGTGATGTAGAGCACAATGAAACAGTATATAAGTCTGAGTGTTAGTGTTATGCTATTGGAAGGGGTGGGGGTTGACAGTAAATGCTAGATGTTGCAACATCTTCATATAAATGTCATGACTTAAGCACTTACATCAGCTGTCAGGATGCAAATACATGGTGGGACATTGGCAGAATGGTGTCATCTAAAGCATATCATTGTGCCGGCACTAATATAGGTAGTTGTAGATGCTACTGAGTAGTATGCGCCTATTAATTTGTTATCAAATAAAATAATAAACTAGGATCATGCATCAGTGATATGGTTAAGATTCACGATATTTCTGAGATCAGTATTTCCATGGCAACATCTAAAATAGTCAGGAACTCCCTTCACACATACACACATGGAAAAGAAAAGAGAATATTGCTCACAGAAACTGAATAGCTGAAACTGCTGAGTAGCAAAGACCTTTAAGTGTATAATGTTCCAGAGATAAGCATAACCTTGTATTAGGATTTTTATGATGACATTTCAGTATATCTGACTCATCGACCATCATGAATGTGTAAAGACACCCTTGAGGTGGGTTGACTCAATAACTAGTGCCTTAATAGAAGTACTCTGGTAGGGTTCCCCCACACACCAGTTTTTTGAAACTGGCTTCTTATATGGAGTGAAGGGGGTTCCAGGTTTAGCCTGCAAGACTGATGTTTTCCAGTGATCTGTCTACCAAATCTGATTTTACTAAGTTTTTCAAGATCAGCCCAGGTTAGTTATATGTTTGAAAGTAGGGAGGAGAAAGAAAGAAATTTAAGGGTTGAGGAATTTGACACATAGCTTAACACAAACAGGTGCAATTTCCCTTTTGATCAATCATCTGTAGGGCTGGGCTATAAATCTATTAAAAGTTTAATTCCTCCTTTGATTCCAGAACCGTACAATTGCAGACAAGCTAAGTCACTCTACTAATTTCCATCCTGTGCATTATTGAACATTTGCTTTTGGCAGAGGCAGGTTTTATGTATTTATGGAAGCCTCCATATAAGCCAGAACACTGTGGTGTCCACGATCCAGCTCTCATTAGTGTCATAGCAATAGCACTTAGACTTATATAGCGCTTTATAGTGTTTTACAGCCCTCTCTAAGCGGTTTACAGAGTCAGCATATTGGCCCCAACAATCTGCGTCCTCATTCTACCCACCTCAGAAGGATGGAAGGCTGAGTCAACCTTGCCCCTGGTGGGATTTGAACTGCCAAATTGTAGGCAGCTGACTGCAGAAGTAGCTTCCAGTACTGCACTCTAACCACTGCGCCACAGAGACCCTCCCGAAGGACACGCCAAGCTTTGGTATGTCCCATGTATGGATGCTCTGAACAGCTCATCTGGAGAAAGGGCATTGGTACTTACCTGATACGCCTGTTCTCTGTGAGCTGTGAAGAGCATCCAGCCCCACCCAGAGACCGTCTGGTGTGGGTATAATTCCAGCCAAGTCTACAGAGCAAAGGTGAAGGAGAATGACCAGTGATGAGATTCAAATTTTTTTACTACCGGTTCTGTGGGCATGGCTTGATGGGCATGCCAGGGGAAGGATCCTGTAAAATCTCCATTCCCTCCCCACCCCACTAACCTGCTTTCCAGCTCCATTCTCCTATGCAGGGCAACAAAAGAAGATCCAGCTAAACAGCTGGGACTCAGGAGGCAGAGAATAGATGGGGGCGGGGCCAGTCAAAGATAACATTTGCCGGTTCTCCAAACTACTCAAAATTTCCACTACCGGTTCTCCAGAACCTGTCAGAACCTGCTGAATACCACCTTTGGATACTCAGCTGGATAGATGATTTCTGCAGAGACTGCCAGCCATGCCCTCTGAAATGGCAACAACCTCCAGAGGTTTTTGTTTCCTTTAAAAGTAACTTGAAGTATAGGTTTGGGATGAGGCATGGTTTTCAGATGACTATTTATAATCAGACCAGGTTTCGTTCTTTTTTTTTGTTTTTGTCTTGCTAAATTTGAAGATGAGGTACAGTCAGTTGAGTGGGAGTTCTGTGGAAATATGATTAAATAAACACCTCTCTTTTTCCTTTGCTGAAGTCTTTCCTACCTTCACTTGAATCCGCCGGCCTTCTTATTTTTATTCTAAAATAATAGAAGGCTCTTTGGGACCTACTGTTTTCCAATGCTTCAGAAGAATATTGCCACTTATAGCAGCTGGAGCAGATAAATGTCCCCTCCCCCACCACCACTTTGAGCGGGCGACCATTGTCTCAGGGATATAACAAGAAGCAGCATGTAGGGACATTGGTTTGCAGAGTGCCATGCTTTGTTCTCATCTTAAGGAAGAAAAGAAAGCGCATCCTCAGGGTTGCATGATGAGCTGTGAGAGGGATGAGCTGTGAGAGGGAGCATATGTATGTCCTTTGACAGACCTGTCTCCTGCTTGGGCGGGGGTTGGACGATAACCTACAAGGTCCCTTCCAACTCTGTTAATCTGCTAAAGACCTGAGATCAGTGATCCAGGGAAAGAAGCTTCTACTGATAGTGTTTCATTCAGAGCTTCTTTATTTCAGATACAGATACATTTCTACATGGTTAAAGCTAAGCAGAGTTCAAGAACTCCTAGGCCAAAGTAAGTTCTGATCCAGTGGTGGGATTCAAATTTTTTTACTACCGGTTCTGTGGATGTAGCTTGGTGGGCGTGGCAGAGGAAGGATACTGCAAAATCTCCAATCAGAGGTGGTATTTACCAGTTCTCTGAATTACTCAAAAATTTCTGCTACCAGTTCTCCAGAACTGGTCAGAACCTGCTGAATACCACCTCTGTTCTGATCCCAACAACAGACAGACTGAGGCATTCAGAAAGCTTACAGAGCAGGTAGCCCCTGTTTCCTTCCTTCTCGTTTCAGCTGCTGAGATTATATATAGCCTCTCAGTATGGATACCATGTTTTGACTGACAAGCATTATCTTTAACACTTCTTAGCAATGAATTTTAGAATGCAACTGTGTGAAGGGTGTTTCATTTTCAATGCTAAAAACCACTGCCAAGCCATGTCATTAGGCTCATCCCTTCTTCATCCTAGGGCACGCAGGGAGGAGTGGATAAGGGATAAATGTGAGTGGCGTGGTCTGCCTGTATTATAAAAGATGGGACAATATTATCTCTAAACAATATGCTTATTTTATGGAATTTATAAAGAGGCTGCCCAATTCTGCATCAACTCTGCGTAGCATACAATAAAATCAATACTAAAACACAACTCAAACCCCCAAACATCCAGAATAGCATTGTACAGCAATAAAAACAGCAACCTTAAAGCAAGGCTGGTAAGAAGATCCAGGTTTTGAAAACTCTTTTAAATACAGCCATTGTGATGACCTGGGGTGTGACACAAAAATAACCAAGTCACAAAAATAGAAGAAAGTCCCTTTAATGCCTCCAACTTGGCCCCAATGTCCAAATATTCTCGGCTGGATATCAAACTCTTAAAGAAAACAGTTTATGGAGGGAGGAAATGCAATCCGCATCCAAAGTAAAGTTAATTTGAAATTAAAAA